TTGTGTGGCACGTGAACTCTACTGTCCTGGAGGAACCCCGGGTGTGTGCCTCGGTTTCCCTGGGCACCGCACTGATAGTGAGAGGGTGATGGGAATTTCGGTGCCACATACGCAATGGCAGGTGCTTTCTGCAACCTGACACTGGGAGGGATGTGTGACCAGATGACACCTTTTGCCCCCAAAGCAAGACAAAGGCCGGAGGGTGTGGCACGTGAACTCTACTGTCCTGGAGGAACCCCGGGTGTGTGCCTCGGTTTCCCTGGGCACCGCACTGATAGTGAGAGGGTGATGGGAATTTCGGTGCCACATACGCAATGGCAGGTGCTTTCTGCAACCTGACACTGGGAGGGATGTGTGACCAGATGACACCTTTTGCCCCCAAAGCAAGACAAAGGCCGGAGGCAGGGCTGGCTGCAGGGAAAGACAGGTCTGGGGGCAGGGCCCTTGGCTCTGGGCCCCCCTCTCCCCAAGGTGGATTGTACTGACGGCTTCTGGTTCCTGTGCTGACAAATCTGTTCTACGCTGTGTCCCTGTCGACTGATAAACCTTCTGTTCTACTGGCCGTCTGAGAGTCAGATCTGACTGCAGATAGGGGTGCAGGGCCCAGTGACTCCCCACTCCTCGTCTCCTCAAGAACAGATGCTCTTGCCGTTAATTCTGAATGAAGTCTTTGGCCTGAAATGGCCTGAGATCTTCCTACCTGAGGTTGCATCTCTCTCCTGGCCGCAAGGGGCAAAGGTGGGGTCAGACTGAAGGAAAAGGAACTGAAGGAAAAGGAACTGCCACAGCGTGTTCTCCAGCTTGAGAGTTTCCTCTCCGCTAGTCGGACAATGCCCAAATCTGTCAGGAAGGCTGCACAACCTGATTAGCTGCCCCGTGAGCATGTAGCCCTGAAGAGTCCCTGATTGATACTGCAATCTAATGCACTCTTAGGCCATGTCTTCACTATGTGGAAGAACGATGCTGCTGCGATCGATCTTCTGGAGTTTGATTTAGCAGGTCTAGTGAAGACCCACTAAATCAAACTCAGAGAGCACCCCCGTCGGTGCCAGTTCTCTTGCTCATCACAAGGAGTAAGGGAACCGGCTGTGTGGACAACACGGAAACACAATTTAAGATACATCGACTCCAGCTTTGTAATTAACGTAACATGTCTTAATTGATCTTCCGCTGTAGTGTAGACCAGGCCTTAATGCTTTCCACTTCTTATCTAGCAGCAACCCGAACACACTTCTGTGCAAAAAGGAGGCTGGGATCTAAGGCCATGCTGACCCCTCCCTGTACAGCCGACAGAGAAGCCAGCCTCCTGGCTGCCTACAAGGCAAAGGGGGGAAGGCAGGCCTGCAGCGCCTGGCGGAAGCTGAGTTATTTTTACCTCTCTAGATTCTCCCCAGGACTGTCCTTTGTGCTGTTCTGCTGCTGCTGGTCGTCTCGGTGCTGGGCAAGGGCAAGGCGAGGTGCAGCATTGTGGAAATCCTGCGGCAATACCAAGCCGTGATCTTTGATGAGCTCCAGAACCTGGTGAGCAGGCGTGTAGGAAAATGTTGCCCTCTGGCCATGTGACCCCATGTGGCCTTAGGCTGCCGCGGCCCTTTGGGGCAGGGACTGTGGCTTGGCCAAGGGGGGTTACAGTGCCCAGCAGGATGGGGCCTCTATGCAGTCTGGGCTGTTAGGCACTGCTGGGTTAGAAGGGGGTTCACTGAGAAGGGGACGCCCACATCCAGGGCCAGTGGTGTTCAGCTGCCAAGCCAGCAGCAACCCCCCACCTCCATGCACAGTGCCAGGATCGCTTTGTAAGGGGCACTCTCCCCACGCTATCCAGCCAGCTGCAGCAGAGCGCTTGGGCAGCTGCTCAGGAGACATTCCTTAGCCGAGCGCCCACCGCTGGCGGCCTGTGTGTCTACAGGTGGTGCACATCCACACGTGCCTCTGTGCACATAGCAAAATGCATTTCACCCATGGGTGGAAAAACCCCCAGAGGGAACAATGGGCTTCTCCCCCGCACGTAAAGCTCACGCTATGCACAAAGCACGGGCCTGTCACTTCATGGCGGGAGGGAGAGCAGGCCTGGAGCTGAGCAGCTTGCAATCCTTTTGTTTCACACAGAAAAACTTGACTGGATCTGTGGAAATCCCAAGGAGGGGCCGAGGGAGAGCTGGCCTCACCTGCCACTCTAACAAGGTAAATGCTGGCTGCGAGACAGGTGCTTTTTCTGCTGTGTGTGTGTGTGCGCACACTGCTCAACTGTGTGTCATCAGCCCCGTACTGCTAGCTGCCAGTCAGTACTTCCCTTTAGCTGGAGGAGCATTGTTTTTGCAGCGGAAGGCTAGTGAGTGAGTGAGTGTGTGTGAGAGAGAGAGAGAGAGAGAGAGAGAGAGAGAGAGAGAGAGAGAGAGAGAGAGAGAGAGAGAGAGAGAGAGAGAGAGAGAGAGAGAGAGAGAGAGAGAGAGAGAGAGAGAGAGAGAGAGAGAGAGAGAGAGAGAGAGAGAGAGAGAGAGAGAGAGAGAGAGAGAGAGAGAGAGAGAGAGAGAGAGAGAGAGAGAGAGAGAGAGAGAGAGAGAGAGAGAGAGAGAGAGAGAGAGAGAGAGAGAGAGAGAGAGAGAGAGAGAGAGAGAGAGAGAGAGAGAGAGAGAGAGAGAGAGAGAGAGAGAGAGAGAGAGAGAGAGAGAGAGAGAGAGAGAGAGAGAGAGAGAGAGAGAGAGAGAGAGAGAGAGAGAGAGAGAGAGAGAGAGAGAGAGAGAGAGAGAGAGAGAGAGAGAGAGAGAGAGAGAGAGAGAGAGAGAGAGAGAGAGAGAGAGAGAGAGAGAGAGAGAGAGAGAGAGAGAGAGAGAGAGTGGGGGGGGAGATGTGGGGTGTGTGTGTGTGTGTGAGAGAGAGAGATTGAGAAAGTGGAGGCGGAGGTGTGTCGTGTGTGTGTGTGAGAGAGAGATTGAGAAAGTGGAGGCTGAGGTGTGTGTGTGTGTGTGTGTGTGGTGGGGGGGGGTGTCGTTTTGGAGAGTCCAACGCTCCACCCCCGCTGCTGTGACCTTGCATGCGCGATGGTGCTGGCAGGGTTGGAATGGCGTGCTCTTCGCCCGTGCAACCTGCACGCCATATGTGTGAGCGCGCACCAGCCGGGGTGGAGCAGCGGGCTCTCCAACATGGCGTCTGCAGCGTGACCTCACCGGCGCCACCACGCCTGCTAGGTCCCAGCGGTGGGGGGGGCCCATGCCAGTCCCAGGAAGCCAGGGCTCGGGGAGTACATGAGTGGCCACCCAAACAGCTCGGCAGTTACTAATTCTCGTGCCACAGCCCTTTGGCACGTGGTGGCAGCAGAGACGTGGCCATTGGTCCTCGCTGCACTCGAAGAGAGCAGTGACTGATCCCTCCCCCAGCTAGACAAAGCCCACCCCGCCAGGAGTCTGAGAGTCGCAGATGTCCCAGTCTCACTCTTGATGCTGGGGCGATAGGTCTGTGGCTGGGCTTTATGCCAGGGCATCCCCACTGTGGGGAACTGAACTCCAACCCCGTGGGCCCCCGAACTACCATTCCCTAGGGGAGCAGTGACGCTTCCATCCAGTAGGAGGCAGCGGTGCACACACACACTCCACGGCGCTGCCTACCCTTTGCCCACGGCGCCGAACCCCTGAGGATTTTGCCGTTTGCTCAGCGCTGGGTTCCTGGCCCGCAGCTTTCATGTGGCAACTAGCCGAGGGCTCTCACAGGTGGGGAAGGGTCATCCAAAAAGGAAAATGGAGGTGCCCGGGCCCTGACTTCTGAGGGCAGAGCTGAGGGTCCCTGGAGGCTTCTGGGCAGCAGCGCTAAGGGGATGGGGCAGGTTGATGGGCCCACCCTGCCGTGTGCCGCTTCCAAAGCGGTGCTGTCTGGGGCCACAGCCTCATTCCCTCCGCAGAACAGCTCCCCTGGGCTGTGCTCTAGGCCAGCGGGTTTCGAACTTTTCCCCATGACCCAGCTGAAGAAAATTATTGATGCCGCAACCCAACATCATCGGACTGGAGTGCGGGCTTCGGGGTGGGGGGGGGGGTGTCTGGATTTGGGGGAGGCAGGGCTGGGGCAGGAGGGGCTTTCCTTGAGCGGCTCCCAGTCAGCGGTGCAGCAGGGAGGGCTAAGGCAGCTTCCTGCCTGTCCTGGCACCACAGACCAGGCTGTGCCTAGAAGCAGCCGGCAGCAGGTTCCCAGCCAACGGGAGTGCGGAGCTAGTGCTCGGGGCAGGGCACGGAGCTGTGCGCCCCATTCTCCACTTAGGAGCCAGGCCTCTTGCCGGCCGCTTCTGGGATACAGCCCCGTCTGCGGTGCCAGGACAGGTGGGTCGCTACCTTAGCCCCCCCAATGCTCACCTGATCCCCCTGCAGCAAGGAGTCCCAGCGCCCAACATCCCATCGCCCTGTACTGGGTCGTGACCTGTCGTTTGAAAACCGCTGACCTGGCAGGCGAGGCACAGCCTGGGGGAGGAAGGTTGCGGGGGGTGGAGGGTTTTGTTTTTTGCAGGGCGGGGTGACGGCTCCATTTTGGGCCCCTAATTAATCCAGTGCGTTAAGACTCCAGGACGCCACGCTGGTCTGAAGCTAGCGCTGGCTCGTCGACTAAACCCTCCTGTTTTCTACTTGCGTCGGCCCTGCCCACCCGGATGGTGCCTCCTTCCTTTCTCAGGAGCAGAAAATTCTGCTGTCCATCTCTACCATGAGCCTGTCTCTCCGGGACATGGTGAGAGGCCCGAGGAAGAATCCTGAGGTGGTGGCTGTGACGAAGGTGACCAGCAACACAGAGTCTGTGACCAGACAGAACTGCAGGAAAATCCACAAGGTGGGGGCTTGCTTTTTTTCTCCTCGGCCAGGGCAAAAAATAGCAGCTGGGGTGTCGGGCACAGAGCAGCGGGTAAATCCGTGCTCACAATCCCGATTGTCCAAGATCAGGGCTGTTAGCTGAGTCAGGAGTACACCTGTGCTACACTTCCTCCCCGCTGAAAGCAGCCATCGGAGCCTGGAGAACTCCCAAGCTTTTCCCCGGGCAGCCAGACGTGCACCCAGTCGGGGCAACGCAGTCCGGGGAAAGGGGTCGTTCCCAGCAGCGGGTGCATGGCGCGGCTCTCCCAGAAGAAGGATCCCTGTAGAACGAGCTGCCCCGTTGCGCCAGGCCTCACCCTGTCTGAAATGAGCGCCGAACGAATTCCCTCCGCCGTCTCCTGTGGGAGAACCCCGGGGAAAGCCCGGGCTGAGCGCCGCCCTCTCCCATCTGGCTGTAGGGCAGGGTTCACTCTCCGATACTCCTTCCCTAGGAGAGTCACGGGGAGGCCGAGGGAATCCATTTGGTGTCTGAAGCCCTTGTGCAAGACTCGGCCCAGGAGCTCAGGTTACCAGACACGGTCTCGGGAAATCCCTGGCTCCGCCCCTCCTTCGCCCCATTTGTCAGGGAAATTAATGTATTTGGTGGTGTCTCCCGGGGGCGGGGGAGAGGTGGCGGACTGGTCCGAGCAGCCTATCAGGGTGCTGTGGCATGGAGACTCGTGGGGGGGAGGGACCCGTTGTGTGTGATCTCCCCTTGCCAGAGGAGTCTCCTCCGTACTAGGAGGTGTGGGCTCTGGACATGGGCTAATTCATGCCACGCCGGCTCTGTTCATGAGGGTTGGAGGCTGGTGTTGAATGGGTAGAGACAGATCTAGTAGAAACCACCACCCCCCTTGGAAGTTTTACCTTGGAACGGTCCACCAGGTTGGGCTAGACCCACCCTGCTTGGGGAGTGATGCTTGAAGGTACAATTGGCTTCCCGCCTCTAGGTGCATGTGCCCATTGGGATGGGTGCCTGGGAGAGCACACGTAACCCACTGGGGAGTGCAGGTCCCACCCCCTCCCCTGTGGGTTACATACACGCCTGGGGGCCCTCCTATTCCCATGTGATTGCCCTCCCTACTGCTTTCCCCCCATGCTCCTGGGGGTCAGAATAGCCCGGAGCTGGTCTCGGTCCTGCCGGCTGCCCGTGTCCAGACCCCAGGTTGCCCGGCTGTGACTGTTTTCTCTTTCCTTGCCTGCGAACAGAAGAGTCTGTCGACGGCGACCGAGAAGCCGCGCCGCAGAGGCCAGGGCAGCAGGAGGAAGCAGCTGAGGGAGATGGCGCGCGTGGTGGACAGCTTGGTCACCTGCTGGGAGAAGCTGTTCTCGCTGCACTCGAAGGACTGGGACACATAGGGTCGGGCGGAGGCGGTGTGGGGCAAGCTGGGGCACGTACCAACCGCTCCACACGAGCCAGCCAGCAACACTGATTTGATGTCAACTCCGTGCCTTCTGATTGCTTGGTTCTGCCGGTGGGTGAGGCAGGCAGTGCCGGGGCTGGCTTCAATGCCTCTCAGCCTTCTTTGTGCTCACGTCCCCCTCGGCTACTGCTCCAGGGAGCAAATACCCCGGGCCAGATTCAGCACCATCCACAGATGTCAGGCTTGAATTTGCTCCTGTGTTCTGAATACTTTGTGGGGCTTTCCCGCGCCCGGGACTCGGCTCTGGCGGGGCTGTGCGTTAGCAATTGGGAAGACGGGCAGGTGAGCAGGATGGCTGCTTGCAGGAGGCCACCGGGAAGCTGAAGTGCGGCTGGACATGGGGTTGATGACTCAGTAAGCGGAGCGTTTCTTTCTAGGTGTGGGCTGAAGCAGCGTTCCTCATGGGGTAAAAGGGGAGGCTGTTGTCTGGATGTCAGACCAGCCTTTCATTGCTCTTCACGTGTGCTGTCATAACTACTGTCCTCTTCTGACTGGCCACAGTGCCGATCCCTGCTTTTAGCAAAGAGGCAGCAGAGTGTGCCCTTTGATCAGCGGCAGAAAATTACGGCTTTCTGTGCGGCTGTTGCTGGTACAGTGCCAGCCTGCCAGGCAGAGCTGCTTATAAGAACGGCCAGACTGGGTCAGATCAAAGGTCCATCTAGTCCAGGATCCTGCCTTCTGACAGTGGCCAAAGCCAGGTGCCCCAGAGGGAGTGAACAGAACAGGGAATCACAAGTGATCCCTCTCCTGTCATCCATTCCCAGCCTTTGTCAAGCAAAGGCTAGACACACCACTGCTGCTCATCCTGGCTAATAGCCATTGATGGACTTATCCTTCATGAATTTATCTAGTTCTTCTCTGAACCCTGTTAAAGTCCAGTTCTTTACAACATCCTCTGGCAAGGAGTTCCACAGGTTGACTGCATGGTACGGGAAGAAAAACTTCCCTTTGTTTTAAACCTGCTACCTATTCATTTCATTTGGCGACCCCTAGTTCTTGTGTTATGGGATTGCTGTGCTCCCATTTGCTTCTCTAAAGGATGCTGAATTCATAATCTGCAGTGCATTAGGACCTTCAGGGACACCCCTGCCCGTGGCTGCTGAAAGCACCCTTGTGTCTGTATGAGAGGGCCCCAGAACTTGGCTCCTGCTTGTTGCTAGAGGTCAGTGGTGTGGCTGTGGCAGGGGAGGAGTGAACAGTGTTTCATCACAGTGGTTTCTTCTGGCCTTCGAATCTATGAATCCCCTTCTCTCTGCTCATTACAGGATAATGGCACTGCTATTCTCTGCCTCCTGACTGGTGGCAGCCAAGCCCGACTTGCACTGGCGGCCCTTGGTTGAGGCATCTACTCAGTCAGAAGCACAACGCTAAGGGCCAAGTTCTCCGCTGGCATTAGGGAGTGTCACTCCATTGTGGTTAGTGGCATAGAGCCCACGGACGCCAGTTCCCAGTCTGAGGTCAGGAAGAGCTTGCCGGAGATTCACCACGCTCCTCCAGCTCCCTGAGAAGCACCGAGGCTGTGTAGAAGATGAGCCCTCGTGAGGATCAGCCGCCCTCATGCGGACGAACGTCAGTACAGATCGGAACGAAACAGCTGGTTCCTTACTGCCTGACACTTACACAAGCCTCCCTGAAGGAACAGCGGCAGAACGGAGCCTGTTTTCCAAGCCCCACAGCAAAACCTTTGCAGACATCCAGCAAAGCACCTTCTAATCTGCGAGCCTGGGAAAAACAGAAATCCCCAGCATATGCAGTGCCCCAATGGTGCTAATTAAAAACCAACCGGCGGTGGGGGAGGTGAGTGGACAGTTTGTTTCACAAATAACAAATTTTCTCTCCTCCCTGCCCATTCTGCCTGCTTTCCTGTCTTGGGCATGAGCGTCCCATTGGCTTCCTGGGGAATAAAACTTGTCCCCTACAGAGTCTGGATATTTATCTAGACAACTCGGATTCCCCCATGCTCTTCTAGAACTGGTACAGCCGGAGGGGGAGCCCGGGCCTCTGT